TTACAAAAAAATACATTTTTTTTTTTATAAAACTAATAATAAAAAGTTTTCTATATTATGTAGCCAACTTATGTAGACACACAGTTTAAAGAGAAAGTATATCTGAAATGAATCAGCACTGAATGTTAAAATCGAAAAAAAATTGAAAATATTAACGTAAAATTTAAATTTTTTCACAAAATTGCTTTTTTAAAACGTTCACTTATAGATAAACTACTCTGTTGTCATTTTTTTTAAAATGGTAAGTTTGTAAAAACTTAAAAGGCGACCCTCGTACTTACCGAATATTTCTACAGTGAATTCTATTGTCGCAAAATTCTAACTTCAGAGCAAGTGAATCAAGCACAGTGATCTATGGTCTAGTTCTATTCTAGTACTATTTTATTTGCAACTATTCGACTAGGAAGCAGAAATTTATTACTATCTTACATCTTCCTAGGCTTACTTACAACTAGTCCCGTTAGCTAATAGCTAAGTAAAAGGTAAAAATTGTTATTAAAGGTTCTACATAATTTTCACTATTTTATTTTTCAATAAATCGTTATAATAGCTGCTAACTTACTTGCTACAAAGTAATTGACTATTGAAATACATGTAGATATTAAAATGTAGGCTCTTCAAAAACGAGCAAAAATATTATTTTGAAGAAATAACAATAATTGAAAAAGTTATTCAATTTTGAAAAATGTATGTTAAATCAAGTAACATACAAAATCTCGAATTTTCGAGTCACAGTCTCCGTCTACAATTTCAATATTTATATTCTATTTAAGAACTACCTAATCACTTTCCTTTCCATAAAGATGGTTTATTAATTTTACAATTGCATAACGTAACCATTTTCAAGAAAAAAAAAACGAAAGGAAAAGAAAAACAAAGAAAAATAAGAGAAAACAAAGAAAAACAAAGAAAACAGGAAGAAAAAAGAAGATAAAAGAAGGAAAAGAAAAAAAAGAATAAAAAAAAATAAAAATGATAAAAAAAGAAAAGGAAAAAAAAATACAAAAGGAAAAAAAAAATACAAAAGGAAAAAAAAAGAAAAGAAACAAAAAAGAAGAAAAGAAACAAAAAAGAAGAAAAGAACAAAAAAAAAGAAACCGAAAGAAAGAAAAAAGAAAGAAACAGATCACCATGTATGCAGAACACTTTAATATATAACCTTATAAAACGAGACAAAAGAACTACTCTAAATCTCATACAACCATGCTTATGAATCGATGGGAATTGCTTAATACTTTTTATAGCATCGGAATTATTCAGGAAATAATTTTTACCATTGTAAAACAGGTACCTCAAATTAAACTAAGTTATATTTTACTAAAATATATTTTATAAAAAATGATTAAATAGTTTAAACTATTTCCAAATCACAAAAAGAGACTGCAAACCATCTAAAAAGGTATACATAACACAATGAAACATGTGGTCCGTTATCCGCTAGAACGTAAAACAGCAAAATGTACATGTTAAATAGGAAACAAATATTATGTAATCTAAGACAAGAAAGGTGAATGTTATGCTAGTTAGCGAGAACCGCGAGAAATTTAAAATATATTTTGACATTATACTAAGGATAGGCAAAATAATTGATTTTTTTAATCGATAAAGAATAACTGATTATTCAATTATTTTCAATTAATCGATTTTTCAATTATTTTCGATTAATCTATTATTTTTGATTAGTCGGTTATTTTTCACTGTTTGAAGATTAGTATATTCGATTTAAATTAATCAATTAATTAATCTAACAATCGTTTAATCGAATAATCAACTTTAAAGGAAATTTAAAAAATAATTTTCTTTAAATTTAATAAAAAATAACCCGAGCAACAACTATTTTGGAAATAATGGTGAAAAAGCTTTTTTTGATGAGCAATTTACAAAATGAGACACTCAATCACACTAGCTTGCTTATAAAATAAAATAATTATAATGTAAAATGTTAAAACATAATATATTTAATAAGCTTTTTTAATTTGGGTTTATATTAAGTGTAGTTAGTTATTTTTTAGGAGTGGGAAAAATATTCAATTGTTTATTACGATTATTCGATTTTTTTAAATTGATAATCGATTATTTTTTATTAATAGATTATTTTCTATTATTCGATTATTTTCGATTAATCGACTATTATTGATTTTTAGATTTTCGATTGATTAAAAAATTATTTTCAATTTATCGATTATTATTGATTTTACTATTAATTGAATAAAATATTCTGACTAATCAATTAATTTCTATTAATCGACTATTTTAGATGAATCAATTATTTTCCGTTAATCGATTATTTTTGATTAAAAAATCATTTTCGATTATACGATTTTCGATTAATCGATTTTCGATTATTTGATTAATCGATTATTCAATTTTCGATTAATCGATTTTAGATTAATCGATTTTCAATTATTCGATTAATCGATATATCAATTAATCGATTAATCGATATATCAATTAATCGATTAATCGATATATCAATTAATCGATTATTCAATTAATCGATTATTCGATTTTCGAGTAATTGATTATTTTCAATAAATGGATTATTTTGGATCGGTTATTTTCGATTAATAGAAAATAATCGATTATTTGAAATAATCCATAATCAATTATTCATTTTGCTAATCGCCCAGCGCTAGACCCCTTATGAATTGCAAATCGATTAATTAATTATTTAAAGATAATTTTTATATTCGATTAACCGATTAATTAAATAAACTATGATCGCTATCTCAGAAAAATGTGAATATATTAAATAGATTATTTTCTATTAATCAATCATTTTCTATTATTTGATTATTTTCCATAAAACAATTATTATTGATTTTTCGATTATTTTCATTAATCTATTAAACGATTATTTCCCATTAATCGATTATTTTCGATGAAACGATTATTTCCAATTATTCAACTAATTCCAATTAATCGACTATTTTAGAATAATCGATTACTTGATTTTCGATTAAACGATTATTTTCTATTACTCAATTAACCGATTATTCATTTTGATACTCGCTCAGCGCTAGACCACTCATGAATTGCAAATCAATTAATTAATTATTTAAAGATAATTTTTATATTCGATTAATCAATTAATTAAATAAATTATGATCGTTATCTCAGAAAAATGTGAATATATTAAATAGATTATTTTCTATTAATCGATTATTCAATCATTTTCTCAATTATAATTGATTTTTCGAATATTTTCCATTAATCGAATAAACCATTATTTCCAATTGATCGATTATTTTTGATTAAACGATTATTTCCCATTAATCGACTATTTGCGATTAATCGATTACTTGATTTTCGATTAATCAATTAATTTCTATTACTCAATTTTTGATTGAGTATTTTCTAGTATTCAATTATTTTCGATTAATCGATTATTTTAAATTTTTCGATTATTTTCGATTAAACTTATTTCCGATTAATTAATAATTTTTATATTCGATTAATCGATTAATTAAATAAACTATGACCGTTCTCAGAAAAATGTGAATATATTAAATATATTATTTTCTATTAATCGATTATTTTTAATTTTTCGATTAGTTGATTATTTTCAATGAATCAATTATTAATGATTTTTCGATTATTTTCCATTAATCGATTAAACGATTATTTTAAATTAATCGATTATTTTTGATTAATCGACTATTTTCGATTAATAGAGTATTTTCTAGTATTCAATTATTTTCGATTAATCGATTATTTTTAATTTTTCGATTATTTTCGATGAATTGATTATTTTTGATTAAACTTTATTTCTGATTAATCGAATAATTGAAAAACTATGATCGTTATCTCAGAAAAATGTAAATATATTAAATAATTATTTTCAATGAATCAATTATTAATGATTGTGAAAAATGCTCGGATATGGCAATTTTTATTTTTGATAAAGCACATTTTTATTATAAAAATCGCAGATTTCAACCCCTATACGTGGTAGTTACTCCTTTGAATAATTTAAATAGCAACAAGGGCGATAGCTCATCCAAAAAGGTTTTTTAATAAAAAAATATTTTCATTAAAATTTACGAGATATTAATTCAATAAGCAAATATTTGAAATATTTAAATCCTTTTAGGTATATCACCTAGTAAGAATAAATAAATAGTATCAAATAACGCCAAAAATAATTTTATTCCATAAGTGGTTTCCACACATATTCTTTGGGGATCCTTGTTTAAAAATCTTGAACTGAAGAAATTCTGGTTTTCTACATACTTTTTTTTATTGAATTAAAACAATACAAGATTTTGTTCAAATTCGTCCTCTTACAAATAAACAAAATGAAACTAATACAATCAAACATTGGGAAAATATATAAATTAAAAATTACAATGAAAAGAATCGTCCTATTAGAGTGACTTTAAAACAAAAAAGAAAAAGAACAAACAATTATTGACCGAAGGTTCTGGTATTACTTATTAATCCTAAAACCATATAGAAGGAATTAATCACAACCTTAGATCATAGAAATTAAATCATTAAATAGAGCTTTCTTTTTTAACCCATATTAGAGCAAACAATTTAAATCTAGATGAATTAAGAAATCTAACATACTCCGCTTATTTCCGAACTTGTAGAGAATAATATTTAAAACTTTATAAATAATTCCTGCTATAACAAATTTAAATTAACAAAATGAAAAATTTTTGATTTAATTCGTATCTCCATCTGAAGCATTTAAGCGAATCACGTTAATAAAACTGGCGCCCGAGAAATTTTTCTGAACATACGTAAGTAATGTTTTATTCGGTGACAAGAACATTGTTTTATTTTTATTAAAAATGTACTACAGGTCAAAAATATAAGTTGGTCTAATAAACAAACGTAGAATAATGGAGAAACTTTAAAATTCAAAACTAAATATGTCACTTTTAATATATACATGTATTTCAATAATCAATCTTTTGCTTTATGTTTTACATTATTTAAAAAATAGTGAAAATCATAAATTAAACTTTCTAAACAAATATTCAATAACATACCTCTATATTGTTTTGAAATCTAGCCTCGGGTCCGTGAAACGATTTACTGCTACTCCCAGTACCATAACCGGAACTATTACTGCTCCTAGGTGGCGAAAAACTCCTTTCGTATATCCTCCTATGGTTCCCGGAAACGGCTTGTTGCATTTGCGGAGCTCTTCTACCTTTATTTTCTTCATTGGTATTCGTGTTGTCGTAGTCGCCTTCATAATGAGCCTCGTTGTATTTGCAGTTCTGCAAGGTACACCCTTTTCGCGGCGTGCCATCAGGTAAAGGCGGTATCACAGTTAGAGTAACGGTAATGGACGTTTTGAGAAGATCCACCTGGTTGAAACGAAAATAATTAGAAACAGAAGTTGCAGGGTTGGAAAAAAGCTGCGTTTAATATTGTCACAAATTCCAAAAAATATTAATAATAATTTTTCTTAGTGTTTTTTAAAGTAAATTAAACAAATTCATTTGATTTTTGATTCAGCATTTTTTATTAAAGTCAAAACATAGATAATTAAACAAATTTAAAACCGATTACAAAATACTGCCGACATGCTAATATACGTAGGAAATAATAAGGAAATTATATTGCTTAATTAGAATAATATCAGGTCATCAACCACATAATTTAAGTTTGATTAAACTACGTATAATTTTGCAAATCGGCAATATTCAAAAAATTAGATATTAAAATTAAACAAGGAAGGCAGTTGTAGCCATCTTTTTTGAAATAATTTAAAATCCTCTAAAATTAAAAAAGTAATAATTTAAGATCCTTATAAATTAAAAAAGTTTTCCGTTGTGCCTTTTTGGGGAAGATTGTGACGTGCCCCAAAACTTGAGAAATGTGGTAAGTGTACCAAGTCATTTAAAATATTGTTAAAATAAATGAGGTGTGGTTGAGATCAATCAATTATATATTTTCTTATATTTTGTTATTTTCTTTCAAAACGAAACTGGTACAAAAAACACGACCTCGTGACATGGTGGAGGTGCCTAGCTTCGTTCTTGAAAAATAATTCATCATAATTATTTTTAATGTACCATTAATTGTTTTTTAATTTTTTTATATTTCTTCAATATTTTTTTTTTCTTTCTTTTTTTTAATTAGTAAAAAATAGTCAGCCACCCCTCATATGTAATAAATTTACAGCTGAATAAAGCGAGGTGAAATATAACAATTGGTAGGATAACCATAAATTGAATATTAAAAATAAAATCGTACATTCAACAATTTACAGAATAAGAATATTTTTTTCTCTGTTTGTTGCAGAAATACAGGGTTATTTAAATAAGTTATTTCAAATAGTTATAAAATCAAAAATGCTTACATAAAAAAAAATTTTTTTCCTAAAACAAATTAACATAAAAATTTTTATTTAAGATATTTATTAAATTTTTAGTTTCTATTTATAAAAATAAGTCAATATGACCCAAAACCCAAAAAATTTATATTTCACTGAACTTTGCTCTAGCTGATGGTTTTAAAAAAATCACATGTTTGACATTTTTCACATTTTCTTTTTACATTTTTGATATTTTTCACATTTTTTTTACATTTTTTCAATTTTTTTTATCGTTATTATATATTAGCAACTTTTAAAAAACTATCCTATTGATAAATTCTTTATTTTTTTTTATAATTTTAAGATGGTATTTGAATATAAATTTATATAAAATTACTTTAAAACTTAGATTAAATTAACCATTCTTCTACGAACAATAACTTCTACATTTTTTTTTTTTTAATAACAATACACACTATTTTCTCCTGATATCACCCTTTACTGTTGCACATAACGCACTCATTTTGATTTTTTTGAGTTCACAAGAAACAGTTTATTTGGAATTAAGTAAAAAACTAAAAATGCTAAAAGTAAAAATAGTTGTAGCCATCTGTTAAGCAGTACAGCCCCAGAGGCAAATAAAAAACCATGAGGAAAAAGAAACATACTAGTTACTTTTACGGCAATTTTCGGATAATTTTTGTTTTATTTACTAAATTCAAATGTGATCTATTGTAAATTCTAATTTAAAGAAACTTTTCAATGTCTAACCTAATAATACATTACCTAATAATAGAAAAATGTAAAAAATAAACTAATAATTAAGTAAATATAGCTAAGATGATATTCAATGAATTGTGCTTTCGCCATTTAATATCTCACAAAGTATGGAAAATTTTATTAATATTGGGAAAAATTTTTTTTAGTTAACAAAAAGTGCATTGCACTGATTTAGAAAATATATAGCCATAATTTTATATTTTGTATTTTGGACGGAAATAAGTGGACCATAAATAAAAATCATTAAGAAAAACTATTTTGGGATTTAATTTTTATTATTTAATTAAACTAATTAAAAAGTGAAAATTCAAATTTTTCAGAATTTCATAAAATAATTTAACAATTTTAGATTAATATATGTATTCATAAAAAGTGATAAAATATTTAAAAAACGAATAGGATATTCTTATAACAAAATCGTAAGACAAGTAGAGAATTTCTTTATTATTATATTAAATATTAATGCAAAATAAACAGTTTTTATAATGCGTCAGGTGTCTGAACAGTAATTTACGTAAATAATTTTACAAAAGTGCTGAAGATAACAAAACTTAAAAAATTAATTTTTAAATGAAATAATCCATTTAGATCAAAACTATTCGAACTTTTTTTTTTTTTTAATATCACATCATCAATAATAAAGATTTTTTAATAATGATAGTAGAAATAATTTCTTTTAACATACTAGTCAAGTAATTTAATATTTCATTTGCTTACTGTGAAAAATTTCGCACGATTTGCTTACTTAAAAAAGTGTGAACATTTTAGATTTTAAAATATGTTTTTCGTCTATATGAATTTCAATTTCAGAATAATAAACAAATATTTTACTAAGTTATAATGTGTCATAAATCACAAAAATTACAGATACTTAAAAAATTAATTTTTTTTCATTTTTTTTTTGTTAAAATTGAAATAAATATAGGTTCGTTTTAGTAGGAACTTGTTTTATTATAATTAATTTAGATTATCATTGAAATTAATGTGGCAATAATGAAAAATAAAATAATTAATAAAAATATTCTATCTATATTTTGTAAAAGTATTATTAACTGGAATTATTTTTTTTATATAAAATTCAAAAAATAAATGTTGATGTGAATCTTATTTTATTCTTGAAATTTAGTTGATGATTTCCCAAATACAATATGGTAGATAATTACAAAATTAAATGATGTAATAAATTGTTAGGAATTGCTTGCTTTATCTTTAATGTTGGATCAAGAATTGGGAATAGACCATAGTTATATGAAAATGGACAGTTTGAGATAGGGTTGCCACCTGTCCTTTTTTCAAGCAAAATGTCCTTGCGACTTTTATAAGCTTAAAATGTCCTTTTTTACGGCATATGTCCTGTTTTACTCTTTAATATCTTTTTGATATCGTTGAAAAAGGAAAGGGACCTGGCTTGTACAAAAATATGTAAGCTCGGTGGAAGGACTAGGAATGTTTATATCTTCGACTTTTTTTTAGAAGTTTAGTAGAAGGATGAGGACCTTTTGCATACTGGATCCCCTATCAGCATCATAGTACTTTATTCACTTTTTATAAAGGTGGCAACTCTACTTTGAGAAGAAAATAGAAGCTACGTCTATGTTACAGGTTTATTTTGAATTCAATTCTAAAACAATTCGTAAAAAGAATTTAATATTTTACGGGACTGATGAGTCGTTAATGGGGGGGTCGTTTTTCTTTTTCTATTTCATAGAATATATCTGTTATTTACGCTTGAAGAAGAAAATTCTTCAAATAAAAGTTGCTCTATAATTATTGCTATATACAAAATTTTCCTAAAATGGTTCATATTCAAGAAATTTGACAAAAAGCAAAAACAATATAATTTTTAAGAAAATTGTTCAAATAAAAGTTGTTTGTCACGTCATTATTTATAATTATCAGTTTACCTAGAACTCGCCTAGGATAGTGCAACGTCAATTTTTTCGAGCTTAAAAGTGACGGCTGACACATTTTGTTTCTGTACAAACAGTATTTTTCCCGTAGTATTACCGCTCCAGAGTAAGTTAAATCCCACTGCCGGTAGAGCACCGGCAAATGCCAAAGTCCAACAAATAGTCCAACAAATAGTGGTTTCCAAACCCTATACTCCAAAAGGATTCAGAACAGATGCCGTCCTAACATAGAACAAATCACTAAATTATCCACAAAAAACACGCCGAGTGCGTTCAAACCAAAAGTAAAGCTGAATACAAACATAAACATGAGTAAAGGGAGCCTACCTATAACTAACATTAACCCAGGGGTCATCGTCCCAATACAAGGGAATCCCTGGCCGAAAATTCTGTGATTCGATCTTCAGGCGATCCTCAAACACTCAGAAACATAAATGCCGCGTTTGAACTGGCAGAAAACACCCTAGAAATGAGAACAGCCGCAACCCCCATGCAACAAATGAAATCCTTAGAACTAGCCCAAATAGCACGTTTATCAGGCCAAGAACGAGAAATGAGGAGGAAAAAATGGACACAAACTCTCGAAATAATAACTCTGAGCTTCCTTTTCAAATACCCCGCAAATTTAGCTCAAATTTTTAGAGACTGATAAGAGAATAATAGAAAAAGACATTAACAACGACAAAAAACAGGTATCTAGTTCTCACAGATGACTCTGACTCAGATGATAAGGACGAGATATGAAAAATAGTTAGAAGAAGGAAATTCAACACAAAAGACAAAGGATAGGAGAATAAACAAGAAGAGACCATTGAACAAATACTGGCTGCGAACAACAAAAAAAACGAATAACGAAATTACAGGGAAAACCAACAAAAAACCAAAAATTAAAGGCACAATGCCCCCAATAGTGGTAGATGGCAAAACCAAAAACCAGAACATACTAATACAAGACCTAAGGGCAAATGTACGCAGAATTTTCAGTATCAAACACACAAACAACTCCTACTTGTCAAGGAAAAAGACGACCATGAGAGAGTACTCAAGAATATAAGAGAAGAAAACATCTCCCATCACACTGTGTATACGTAAAGAACCGACCAACACAAAACCGACCCTCACAAATGAACGATGTCCTAGCCCTGAATTCGCGTTCAAAGAATTAGATAAACTGGTAAATATTGGTGAGCTTACACGAGCAGTACGACAACATAATCACAGTTTACGAAATTGTAACACTAATGCAGAATTTTTCACAGTATATTACAACTTTGTAGCAGTACTGGACACCTGGACACAGGGCCGCCGAGAGCCAAGCTGGGTAAAAACTCAAAGTAGAAAACTGGTCGACCCATCT